ATTTTTATGGTTTCCCATCTTACATTTAAGTCATTTAGCCAATTAGAGTTTGTGTATGGTGTAAGTTGGTGGCCTAGTTTCATTTTTTTTTTTTGCATGCATCTGACCAAATTTCCCAGCACCATTTATTGAAGAGACTGTCTTGACTCCATTGTATGCTCTTGCCTCCTTTGTCAACTATTAATTGAGCATAATGGCTTGGGTTGATTTCTGGGATCTCTTGTCTCACTACTTCTTAATGTTAATCCTTCCCTGGGGTAATTATAATTTTGGTGAGAGGATGTAAAATGTTAAACAATTACCAAGAAAAATTGGTAACTAAAAAAACAAACAAACAGGTAGATCAAACAATATTTGTTGAGACTGTAAACTTCTTGAAGGGAGGAATGAGACGGTTTTCACTTTGCATGGGATGGGCACACATGAGTTTGTATTCAGAGGGCTTTTTAAAATAAGACAAATTAGCAGACTTTATTTTAATAAAGGAAAGGAGACTGAGTGAAATGAAACTTCCTCTGTACATTACATCTGCTTCCCATCTGCAGTTTTAGCTAAAACAATCATTTTTTATCCACATCCACAACAATTTGGCCTCTCGCATCTGCAGAGCAGAGCAGCCATTCACTAAATGACACCCTAGTGGTATGAGCGTGTTAATGCACCTCATTTATAAACAAGGAAACCGCCCAGCATCATCTGGACTACCAACCAATTACCAATATGAAATTAATGCAAAACTTATTTCTTGTGTGTGTGTGGGGGAAGGGCTTATGAATAAAGATGGATTTTCTCATTAATGGAATGATAGCAATTCAACAAATTACACATTTTCAAGTGTGGCAAATCGTGACTTGGCAATCTGACAAGAATGCATGCAGGAGAAAGTTTGATTTGCCCTGAGAAAAACCAACCACAGTGGACTTAGAAATCGAGAACTTTCTGGTCTGGGTTTTCGTCTTGAGACTTTTGCATATTGCACAGCAAGGAGTTGGCAAGGTGGCCCTGGTGATCTTTTCTCAATGAGCGTGCAGCTCCTTCTGTTCCCCAAGGGGTTGGCTGCCTCCATCTGTACTGGGCCCCTGTGGGGGCAGAAGAGGTTGGCTTGTTTTTCCGTTGTTGGGAACCAGCAAACAAACCCGTGCTAATGCCAGATGAACAAACCTACGGAGGAAGAGTTATTTCAGGACTGAAGGGCTGCCCGGGAGGGGAGCAAGCTGGGCCAAGAGGAAGGCATGTTATCACAAGTCTATTCAGGGGGCGCTCTTGGGCCTCTCCTGTTTAAAGCAGGGAGAGCTGGAAATTTAAGGGGAGCCAAGTGTTTGCGGCTAGAGGCCAGACTTCATTCCTACAAATGTCCCCCCTGGTGGTTGCTCAGAAGAGAGCCCACCTGCTCCTGCCTCTCCCTCACCGGATTGTCTCCGCAGGCCCTGGGCCTGCTTGGTGGATCCACGCATTTGGAGAAAGAGAAATCCCGAACCAGAAGTCTTTGGTTCAAGACCCAGCTCTGCCAGCTGCTAGATAGAAGTAGTTAGTAAGATGGGGGAATTGGGGGTCTCTTCCTGAGCCTCAGTTTCGTCACCTATAAACAAAACAAAAATGATCACAGCTTCCTAACAGGGTCCTCTCAAAGAGCAGATGAGCTAGTGAAAATGCAATCAGTTTATTTTTTTGTTTGTTTTCTTAAATATATTCTTATTGATTTCAGAGAGGAAGGGAGAAGGAGAGAGAGATAGAAACATCAATGATGAGAGAGAATCATTGATTGGTTGCCTTCTGCATGCCACCACACTGGAGATGGATCCTGCAACCTGGGCATGTGCCCTGACCGGGAATTGAACCATGACTTCTTGGTTCATAGGTAGATGCTCAACCAAAGACCAGGTGGCTGCAGGAATAGATGGCAAGTTGAGCTAAAACACTATACAGCACATAAAAAGCACTTTACCTAGAAAGGGGTCACAGGAAAAGGGGGACATATATAATACTTTCAACAATAAAGATTAAAAAACAACAACAAACATATCCTCGGGTGAGGATTAAAAAAAGGTAAGGGGCCCTGGCCAGTGTTCTCAGTGGTTAGAGCATTGTCTTGTGCACTGAATCTATGCAATGGATTCCATGTGACATGGATTTGGTGACCACATGTGTTGGGACACTTCATTTACACAGCTAAGAAAAAAAATGAATAAAAGCAATTTACAATCTTAGCTGGTTTGGCTCCGTGGGTAGAGTGTCAGCCTACAGACTGAAAGGTCCCAGGTTCGAATCCAGTCAGGGGCACATGCCCAGGTTGCAAACTTGATCCCCAGTAGGGGGTGTGCAGGAGGCAGCCAATCAATGATTCTCTCTCATCACTGATGTTTCTCTCTCTCTCCCCCTTTCCCTTATTCCCTGATATCTATACTAATAAAAGCCTAGGAGGTCCTCGATCCCCTGCATGACACCCTCACATAATCACAAGATGGCTACCACAAGATGGCTGGCAGGGGAGGGCAGATGGGGGAGATGAGGCCAGCAGGGGAACAGTTAGGGGGCGATCAGGCTGGCAGGCAGAAGCAGTTAGGGGCAATCAGGCAGGCAGGCAGTCAGGCAAGCAGTTAGGAGCCAGCAGCCCTGGAGTATGGGAGGAATATCTCATAATCTATTATATGGGGGTCAAGAGTCCTGATTCTCCCAGGATTATTGTGAGGAATGAAGCCATTCATTCAACTAACAGGAAAGGGGACCCCAGAGATAGAATTAACTTCTATGGGAGTAGAAGTGGGACCTGAGCTGAGACCACGCCCTAAACCGGCAGTCGGACATCCCCGGAGGGGTCCCAGATTGGAGAAGGTGCAGGGCAGGCTGAGGGATACCCTCCTCATGCCCAAATTTCATGCACCGAGCCTCTAGTAAGAAAAAAATATTTTAAAAAGCATTTTACAAATTCCTATGGTGCTTTGTATAGATATTATCTAAAGGATTTTATGTAGCCAGAAAGTCTAAGAAATCCCAAGTGTTGGGCCCAATTATATGTTGTCCAGTCCCTTTATAATTAATATTTATCGGAGTGGCACTGCAGTGGGATTAAATGGGCGACAACATGAAGAATGCATGCCTCTTGCTCCCAGCCTGGAGGCACCAGAAACAATAGAAGGGACAGTGGAGGAGAAGCCCCTCTCTTCAGTATTGGTGAGGTCAGCACTAACTTTGATAACAAAATAGAATTTCTGTGAGTCTAATACTTTTCTTAAAAAACGATTGTATTTTTGAAGCCAGGTCAGTCAGCATTATTTGGGCCTGAAGTTAGTACATTAAATTTCATCTCTCAATGTTCTTTCCGACATCACTTTTTAGAAAAAAAAAAATCATTTTCTCCTTTATTAAAATCTATGGTGGCCAGTGCAGGCAAGGACCATGGACTTGAAGCACCATTCTTCAGGAAAGCCAGAAAAGAGGAAGATGACTTATTTTATTTTTTAAGATCACCTGGCACATGTTTGAAAAATAAATCCATCTCAGAAAAACAAAACAGTATTTAGCCAGAAATCTAATATAGTTCCCGAGTCTCTGGTAGAAGCAACCCTACTCTCGAGAAAACAGCAGCTGTCTGTCTTTCTAGAGAGATCTTTTTCTCTTGCTTTAGTTCCTCTCTGAAATAATGAGCCGATGTTTGTGACATCACTGGGTTGCTGTGGGAATGTTTATTTCATAGAGGATTTCGACCTCAAGTGGGGAATTGGCAAGAGGAAGTGCGAACTCTTAGGAAAACACAACTGGTTTGAAGAAAAATGGACAACATTTGGAAAAAGATTCAGAAACAAAACAAAACAAATTGCCTGTAACAGGTTGTTTCAAGTATTTTTTTTTTTTGTGTGAGAACTCAAATACTTATAAGAGCATCTTAAGCAGATATGCCCATTTTTATTTTGAAATTTGCTTACTATAAATACTGTACAAAGAGTTGAGGGGGGGAAGCATTAAGGAATGTCTTTGTGCAGAAACAAACTTTCAGCTACACTCAATCATTAAGATTGAGAAAAAGGTTGGTTTGATCCTGATATACCATCGTGTTGTGTGTGTGTGTGTGTGTGTTTACATTCTCATAACATATGACAGACTTAATAGAAGAGCTCGAAGTAAAGAATTGAGGTTGAAGGGCCTGAATTTTAGTGCGGCAGCTACAAAATCCGTTTTCGTTTTTAACCGTTAAATCAACAGAATGCCAAAGTGGAGCCTTTCTTCCTGCTGGGGCAGTATTGTCCCCTGAATCCACTTTCCAGTTCTCTCAACCTAGCCTAGTTCGATGTAGCCTTGACTTAGCCTAACTACAGCAACTGGCCAAAGGAAGTGGGTTTGCATTTGGGATGGCAGGCGGCGGCCACGGGTGTGCCTGTGCCTGCGTGTGTGTGTGTGTGTGTGTGTGTGTGTGTGTGTGTGTGTGTCTGTGCGCGCGCGCCCGTGCGAGCGCGGGGGACCAGAGACGCCAGAAAAGAAAAGAAAATCGAGACATAGCAACTGTGTGCAAATAATTTCTCCGTGGCTGGAAGAGGGGTCTCCGCACGGGAAGGCAATTTTAGGAATTCAGGAGGGGCGGGGGGGGGGTGGAATCTTCCAAGAGGGTGGGAGCAGGGCCAACCAGGAGGTTTCGGGGCGTAACGTGGAACCTGTGCGTCTCCGCGGGCATCTCTCCCCAACCCCCCGCCCGGGCTCCGGGCGCCCCACTCCCCACTCCCCCACCTGCCCGCGGCCGCACCCGCTCTCCCCGCCGTCCCGGGGCGCGCACGGCCCGGCGGGGAGGGCGGCCCGCGCCCGGGGGGGCTGCGAAGGTCTGGCGGCGCGGGCTGATTTAGTGGCCGGGGCTGTAGTACAGGCTGTCCCCGGCGCCGGCAGAGCCAGCGCGCCCACGTGACGGGCCTGGCTCTCCGGTGAGCTCCCCAAACAGACGCACACCCAGCCCCGCGAGCGCGCGCGCGCACATCACACACACACACACACACACACACACACACACACACACACACACGCCGCACGCACCCCCGCGCGCGCACCCGCCCGCCGCTGCGCCCTCCATCCCGGCTCGCGCGCTCTCCCGCCCTCCCGCCTCCCCTGCGGTCTCTCGCTCTGCGCGCACACATCGCACACACGCACACGCACACGCACACACACACGCGCACACACGCAGCCGGCACAGGCGGCGGCGGCGGCGGCGGCTGCCCAAGTCAGGACGAGCCTCTCCAGGTACCGTCTTGAGCAGGAGGCGGCGGCGGCGGCGGCGGCGGCGGCGGCGGCGGCAGCCCGAGCATCACTCCGCCCGAGAGGCAGCGCCGCCAGAGTTTCCGTTCCTTTGGCCGTTCCCTTCCCCTCCTTTTCTTTATTTTTCGAGAGGATTTCTTCTTCGCTTATTGGTTTGATTTGATTAAAAAAAATTTTTTTTCTGAGTGCCCTCCCCTAACCCCCCCAACCCCCCCCCCCCCCCATTTCCTCCTCATTTTATTTGCATCCAGAGCATGGCGGGCTGCGGGCTGTCGGAAGACACCTTCTTCTCTTCCTTCTTTCCCAACTACGGCTCCTCCTGGGAAACCCCTTCCAGCCAGGTAAGGGGGGGCTCGGGGCCGGGAGGCGGCGCGCTCCGTGCCCCCCGCCGCGCGCTCACTTGGCACTCGGCGGGGAGGCAGAGGCTCGGGAGGGGGGGGGGCTGGGGGGGCAAGTGGGTCGCACTGTCTGGGTCAGTGCCAACCGGCGAGAGGAGGTGTCCCTCCCCCCCCCCCCTTCCCCCAGCACCAGCTCTCCAGTCTCCAGGGTCTGTCGCGTCCCTCCGGTGCCCAATCTGCCACCGACACCTACCCCGCCCCCACCTCCCAGCCCAGCGGGAACCCAAGAAAAGAAGCTGGAGCCGGCACGTTACCCCCCGAACAACTCCGGGCAAAACCGAGGAACTCGAGCGCAACCTTCCCCAAGTCGCCGCGGGCGCCGCGCCCCTGCGCGCCCGGCGCCCGCCAGCCCTCCCGCCCTCCGGTTGCGCCGAGGGGCTGCGGGGCCGCGAGCCCCCCGCGATGGGCTCTTTCTCCTCCTCCGCTCCCCCCGGGCCCGGAGCCACCTCTTCCCCTAAAATGGCTGCAATCTCAAGTGGAGGCGTCCCCTGACCCCGCGGGGGGGGGGAAGGGGGCAGAGGGGATGCTCCGGTGCCCAGAACCCCTCGCCTCCCTCGGCGCGCACAGACACCCCACCACCACACACACTTAACTTTGATGACTGTGCAATGCAGTCTGGCTGCATCGTGCCCTCCACACTCCCCCCCGCCGCCGGCCTCTAGGTGTGCATGTCGGTGTGACGGGTGGAGGGGGGGTAGGAAGTGGGGGGGGGGGAGGTAGACTCCGGAAAAGGGGGGGCATGGAAGCAGATGGGTGTTCGCGGGCCACTGGGAACCTGGAAAGGCAGGCGTGTGTGCTCAGGTTCTAGGGGTGCAAAAGCTATTCTGGGAGGCAGAGCGAGAAAGAGAGAGAGGAGGAAAAAAATGCCTTTCAATGAAATAACTGTTGTCGTCTGCTGCCCCCACCGCACGCTCGGTGAAAGTCTACAGGCATCTGTCATTCCCAAACTGCACGGGGAAGTGGAGCTGGAGTCGAGGGAGGAGGTGTGTGTGTGTGTGTGTGTGTGTGTACGCGTGCCCCGGCCCAGGCTGGGAAAGTTGGGGCCCGAGGCGAGGTGAAGGGGCAGCGGTGACAGGCGCGGGCACTCGGGGGGCGGTCGGGGGCGCGGGGATTCCCGGGCCGGCGGAGCGCGCGCCGTGCGGGGGGCGGGGGTGGGCGGCAGGACGGGCCGGCGGGGGTGCGGGGTGTCCAGGAAAAAGGGCTCAGTCCGGCCCGGCTCGCCGAGCCGCCTTGGCGTCTCTTCTTTCCAGCCCGCCCGCTCGCCAGCGGCGGCAGATCGCAGGGCCGCCCGCCGCACACGCCGCCGGCTCGGCGCGCTCCCTCCCGGCCCCGGGCTCCACGCGCTCCTGCGAGCTCCCAGCAAAATCATCCAAAACCCTCAGGGCAAAAACAACTAAAAAAATGTGCTCCACCTCTCCCGCGGCACCTCCCGTTTCCAAAAACCCTGAGATCGCCCAACTAGGAGTTGCCAGGTGGAGAGCCGGAGCAGCCGGAGCGGCCGTCCCAGCGGATGTACATCAGGGCGCCAGGGGAGCAGTGGCCCGGCTCCGGCCGCCGCGCAGCACGGGAGGCGGCGGCGAGCCCTGGGCAGACCCAGACCCAGACCGCCGGCCGCCGCCGCGGGAGGGCGGGGGCGTCTGGGCCGCTCCCGGGAAGGGTGCCGGCCGCTCCGGGGGGAGCTAGAGGGCGGCCCAGGCAAGGGACCAGGGGGTTCCGGGCGAGGCACCTGGGGATTGGGAGGCCCCGTTGTGAGTAGAAAACTTGCAGGAATGCCGGGGTGGTCGCGCCAGCGCTGGAGTTGGGGGGCTCGGGGAGTTCTATGCCGGCCCTGGGGGGGCCTTTTCCAGGCCATCCTGCCCCGTCTGGAGGGGCCTGGGTGTGCTCTCCACGCCTCCGAGTGCGGGGTGCGGGCTTTACAGATTGCCGAGAGCCAACAACCCTTTTGGTTTTGCAAACTCCAGCTCTCCGGGAGCGGGCGTCCGCGCACCTGTGTGTGTGTGTGTGTGTGTGTGTGTGTGTGTGTGTGTGATTGTCAATGAGTCAGAAACAGACCGCAGCTCGCCTTTTAAGGACCAAGACCCCGGAGGGAAAAGCTCGACCCACGCACCGGGCACGAGCCCGGCGGGGACTCGGGGTTTCTCGGCCGCTGCTCCCCACCCCTCCCCTTCCGCCCCCTTCCGCCCGCCCCGCCTGGAGTCGGATCGGATGCGTTGGGATAAGTTTCCCCGTGTCTCTCCGCCCTGCACCTCGGGGCCGCGCCGCTTCGCTTTCCTCGGAAGGAGAGCGAGCGGGAGACTCGGGTGTGAGGAAGCACGCCGCGATCCGGCTTCCCAAGCGACGACGGGAGGACTGGCAACAGCTTTCATGAGATAGGAAACAAGTCGTTTGGAGCGTTTGAAAGCGAAAGGCTGCGGCCAGATTTTTGCAAGACAGGCGGTCACGTGCCGGCTCCTTGGAAACCGGAGGAGGAGGTGGGCCGGAGGGAGGGGTGCGGAGCGAGCCTGGAGCGGAGGAAGGGGAGAACCGGAGGAAGGGGTGGGGACGGCGTCTTCTTAACAAGAGGAAAACTGTCGGGTTCTTCGGGGAAAGTTAGTTAAACTTGGCTTGGAAAAGCATTCTTTCTCCCCTCCTCAAAGGCAAGATCTTTCTTCTAGGAAGGGAGCCTCGTGCTGCTAAGAAAATCGGGAAGAATTTCTGATCCCGCGGCTGGCGGTGCGCTGGGGAGGCTGTCTCGCCCCTCGCAGGCGGGGGACTGGGTGGTGGGCTCCCCTCAGCGCAGAGGAGTGGTAAAGTGGGGAGAGGGAGATGATTTGAAATATTGATTTCTTCTTCCAGAGGCGCTGTATGAACTTTAAGGGAAAGTACAGGAACAGATGAGCGGTGGACATCATGTAGAGGAAGGTGCCCTCAAGTGCTACAGAAAGCCTTAACCGCCGGGGAGTAAATGTAGCCAGGCGGTGCGGTTTCCTATGCAGCCAGCCACACCACCATTTCCAGGGATGAAGCACATACGTGCATAAGGACCGAGGTTCTTATTGATTCCCAGTTTGCCCTTTCAGCGTTTGAACGTGGGCAAACGACTGAGAAACCTACTCCTCCCAACTCTGTTCCTACGGAGGAAACACACACACACACACACACACACACAACACACACACACACACATCCAAAGGCAATGCTTTCAATCGCACCTTGACTCTGGGCAGGGCTGCTGGGGAGAGGAGGCCCAGGCCAAATTTGAACGAGTAAGACTTATTCATGATTTTCTTTTTCTTTTTTTTTTATTTACCTGAGTTGCTGCCAAAAAGCTTACAAATGCTCCGTTTCCTAAAAATAGCAACGCTCTTCTAATATAATTTGTTTACTCTACCTCAATTAAAAACAAAACTCTCTTCCTAATGTATAAAGTACTTACGAAAGTAAAGGTTGCCTGTGCTAAAAAAAAAAAAAAAATCAAGCTTTTTATTTCTAGATCAATATGATGTGCTCTCAACAACTAATACCATGTAAAAGGAGCCTTTTTACAACATCAATAGCAGGCAGGCATGTCTCCCCAAGAAGCTCGTTTCCTGGAATCACAAGGCATTTTTGATTACTTTCATTTTCACGAGAAACCTGATTATGACACCTCTGGCTATAAACAAGCAGTTGGAAAACACAATGAAGGTGGGGGCTCTTTACCCAGGGGCCTGGACATTGGGGAACCACGAGGGTATTTTTTTTTTTCTTTCACTGCTGAACACAAAAACAAAAACAATCATCGTTGGCCGGGAGGACTTTCGTTACTCTCTGACGTCCTATTATTAAAGCTGGGGGTGGTGGGGATTGGGGTGATTTTTTTTTTTTTTTTTGGAGAGAGCCCAGTGTGTATCAGAGCTGAAACTGCATCTGTTACCATTTAAACACCAGGAAATTCCATCTTATAGCTGAGGAGACCGTGTTGTAGACATTTTGCACCCACTTGCCAATGTGTAAAACATACCATAGGGAGAGTGTGTGTGTGTGCGCGCGCGCGGGGGGGGGGGGGCAAGCATCTGCTTAGGTGGAATTTATTTCTTCAATTAAAACGAAAACCCCAATTACAGTGTGTATGTGAAATGCCTCTGATTTGGCTCCGTGCAGCAGACAACAGACCATTCTTTAATTTACAGCTTCACGCCTAGGGATGGCAGTAGTGCCAGCTTCCAAACCCAGCTTTGTCTTCTCACGTTGTGCTTTGCAACCTGCGCGTCTCTCCCGTAGTTGTTTAAGCTTTCTGTCTCCTCCGTGAAGCCGACTGCGGCCTGGTCATGACGGCCTGCCGTGTGGACCTAGGTCACCTTATTAGTTGTCACTAGTTAAGCCCAAATCGAAGCAGGCCAGGTCTGTATGATATTGAATCAATCCATTGAGAGTGAAAAATGGAGCCAATTAGCCGACTGCTTGGGTGTCCATGAGGCCAGGCATCTGACACGATTCACCTGATTGACCAGGTTTTTTTTTTTTTTTTTTTTTTTTTTTTTTTTTTTTTTTTTTGTTATTGGATAGCTGAACTTCAGTTTGTGAAAAAGACGTTATCAACAGACTTGACTCTGCTCTTTTTTAACTTTTCTTTCTCTCTCCCCAAACCTCTGCCATTCTCCCAGATTTTCCAGGCTGGCAATATAAAATGGCATCCTTATAAGGAGACACATAACTCCTCCGAGTAGGCAGTGTCTGTGTGGAATCCAGCCCTGGACTTTTGTTACCCAGTACCTGTAATTCTTTGTGCTCCCTCTATCTTTTCAAGCAGGGTAGACTTTTCAATGCAGAATCATTAATGGATGTGGGTAAGTTGCTGAAAGCTTGTGCTGGCTGCCATTTTTTATTTATTTATTTATTTATTTATTTATTTATTTATTTATTTATTTATTTATTGGCTTGGCACTGCTTTCATGCACATGGGTAGCCAAAGTGGAAAGCAGCCCACTGAGGACCAGGTCTTTCCCATGTAGTCCAAGGGCCATCAAGGACTTAGTATTTCCCCCATCTTTTCCGGGTGGTTCAGAATTCGCAAAGTGGTAATAATGTTTGGATCCCTGGCGACTAGCCAAGCCTTGTAAATGTCCTCCATTTTACAAAGTTGCTAGAAAGCCAATATCTCAAAGTTCAAAAAAATAAAAACGGGCTTCTAGACATTGCAAATGTTTTTGTTTTTCCTGAAGATGTATTATGATCTACAGAATAGGTGTCAGGCACATTTCTACATACTTGCCTTTCGTAGATACGTTTTAGAAATCTGCCTATAAACCCAGCTCACCTGACCTCACTTTTCTAAATATTGGGTTCTTGTAGGGAGACCAAAAAGTACAAGAGACTTGTAATAACTTGTGCTTACTAGGAGGTTTTCCAGTAAGGCTAACTTCCTTAAGGCATCCTAAAGAAAATGTTTCTTACTTTCCTTTACAAAGTTCTATGAACCAAAGTTCTATTGTCAAAGAGTGGTGACAATAGCTATCCTTCCATCAATAATGTTCCAAACACTTTGCATGTATTTGACTCACTTAATCTCCATGGCAACCTAAAGAGTAGGTACTTTTATTATTATTCCCATTTTACAGATGAGGAAAGTAAGGCAAGTAGAGTTACATACCTCAATGCTATGTAGAGGCATTGGGATATCCTCCAGGCAGTCTATTTTCAGAGCCCCGAG